CAACCACCCTCTTGGGAAATATTCTAGTATATTCAAATAAGATATTGGATTCACTCCCTGCTTTCGGGGCAAACCATCCCTAATCCTCTTACCTTCTTTGAACGCATTTGCCTTAAAACTACCCAATCCCCAAACCTTCTCACAATTGTACTCCCAGCGTAACTCCTTGCCTTCTGCTACCATTCATAGATATGTTACAAACTGGTGTGGTGAAGATCACAATGCCGAGGAGTGGTTGTCTATGTGGGATGCGGCTTCCAGGTGCTCTGGTAATATCTTGATCTAAGAAACAGCCTATAAAAAAAAAGGTACTATCAAGATGGTACCTAGTTCCCTCCCGACTCCGCCACCTTCAACCCACCTACCTGCTTTTGAGGGTGTCCTGCTGTGGGTGATGTCATGCACATTTGGTGGACATGCCCTTTTGTGGCCCGTTTTTGGTCTAAAATTGATAAGGACCTTTATACCATCTTCTATGTTTCAATACCAAAAAATCCTTGGCAGGCTTTGCTACACTCCAAAATCACACAACTTATCGACCCAAATGGCAATTGGCAAACTATATATTCTTAGCAGCCAGACTATAGACCATTCATGGGGGGGGGGACAGGCCATTCCTTACACTGAATTCCACCAACGTATGCAAGGATTTTTTGTAAATGATCACCTCTCTAGTATTCTCACTGATGCTGGCAGGAAATTCTGTAAAATATGGGACCCATGGTCCTCTGTTTTTCTATCAACCCTCGACCCTGTGGCGCTTAGCCTTATCCAGTAATCAATACATTGAAGCACCGTTTTCTCTCCCCCTTTCCGACTTCCACTACGCTTTGCTGTTTAAGCTCCTCGTCTCTTTTTCCCCCTCTACTTAAGCAAATATGGTTTTGTCGCCCCTGTAGTCCTATTTTACCAGTTCTATAGTAAACCGTATATATCTCCCTCCCCTTTGACCCTTTCCCCCATGTCTCCACATGATGTTATTTGCCGCCTACCACCTAGGCGACACACTGTTTTATTATTTGTTACTAATTGTGTATTTTATACCTTGAAAATGTAATAAAACATATTGAAATGGAAATTTGCAAGCCTTAATTTCTGTAACACTACAAGTGTTGTGGTACACACACACACACAGTAATTCTAACAGGTCATAAAAGTTGTGCTAGTTTAATAAATGGTACTGTAAAGAACACACGAGACACACATTTCGATTTTTTCATAGAAATGTAATTAGGGGCAGGATGCAGTTCATGTCAAAACAAAGATCGCCATCTGAACAGAGACACTTTCAAACTGTTCTTACAACATTGTCTAAATGCAGAACACTTCACATCCCGAATCCCTCAAAGACAAATACAAAAAGGGTCATCTAAAAAGGGTTATAAATAGGTCATTTGTTGCCACAAAAATAGATTTTGAAATACAAAAAAATGTTTTCACAGAATTTTAGGAACATAACTGTACCTGTCCAACGGGATTGATGTAGATTGTGGAGCACAATGTGATAAAAAGGACAACTTCTTAAAGGGCACATTTGGAAGAATCAAGCGTACAAAAATATACAATTTTCTTTTTGTAGGACTCTTACAACCATTCCATGGCCATATACAAGGGGAGCTAAGGCACAGAGTGGAAAACAAAAGCTGGTAGCTAAAGCGGTTTAGAGGACACTTAGCAGGATGCAGGTAAACAAATGTTTACTTTTTTTCTTCTTTATTCTTAAAGAATTCCAGGATTAAAAAAAAGTGATGGTGGCAGTTTTATGGTGCGCTTTGCACTTACCACTGTGCCCCTGAATCAGAGATTTTCAGGTTCTTGCGTGCTTTTGCCATTTGTGTATGGCTTTGTAGGCAGCCTGTTGTCAGGAAAACCCCAACTAATTATGGCTAACTGCATGGCAGCTCACAGGGGACAAATGGATGCAAGGACCTGAACGTCATAGCTGAAGATTTCTGGATTGGGAGCACAGAAGTAACCAACTACCCCGTAGATAAAAGATAACTAGCTCTTCATTTTGACTCCAAGTAAAATGTTCTGGTGAAGAACAGACACTACAATATGATAATCTTTAGGCCCTTCTGTACTCCTCCCGGATTTAGTTTCACTTTGTTACTGGGGCCTCATTTTCCTAAACGTATGGCTAAGTCCTAACCATTGCCATTCCACTAAGAAACCAGTAAGGATTCCCACACAAGATAGTGAAGGGACAGTTCATTAAAAAGGGAAAACCAGGCTCTTATACCAATGTGAAATGTAATCAGAGGGGCACAGAAGAGGCTTTCTAGCCAACAGTGCAATCACAAGCAGATAATTAAGTTTTTAACATTAGATTTAACAAAAGGCAGTGGAATTTATTTTCTATATATAGTGCAGGGTATTGCAACATGTTATATTTTAAAGAACTTTGGGGAAATAAAACATTAACCCTTGCAGTGGGGCAATCCCCAAACTGCATAGATTAAGTGCTCATTTCGTCTAGGGAGCTAAAATAACTGCATTAGACTCACCAAAAACAAGATCCTGGCTAGCTAATAGATTGGTCCCTTCAGCCCGTCTCCTCCTCTGCTCCAGCTATGGTATGTCTCTCGGTGTCCTCACATCCTATGCACTGTATAGACTGATGACTCGCAGGATCTTAAACCACTTGAGGCTTCAAAGTCTAGCAGCCAGCCGGGATTGTGATTCGGGTGAGTATAACTTATTTTAGCTCCCTAGACAAAATGAGCACTTAACCCTTAGAGTGCAGGGGGGTAGACCCACTGCAAGGGTTACACTTTTATTTGCTCAGAGTTCTTCACAAACTGAAAAAAGTTGGGAAGTCCCTGTAGTGTTCCACCATAATAGCAGCCATCCTGCTCCAGGTTTGCTGTTCTTGGGGCAGTTTTATTACTATAAAAGACAAAATGGCACACCATTCCGCTTGATTTGACACAAACTGCATGGCAGTGTAATTTAATGCACCAATTATGTTGCTGGCTTTTGAACTTCTATGGCACATATTTTTGGCTAAAAACTGGAAGAGTCTTAAATAGATGCTAAAATATTGCACACAGTTAGAGATGAGTAAATCAATCTGCCCAGTTCCAGATCAGCAGGGTATCGAAACGATATATGGCCTTAGTTAATTTGCCTTTTTCTAGAATGGCTTCTTAAGCAGAATCTTATAAATTATATATTGTAAGAGACATAGTTCCCACCCCCTCCCCCACCCCCACCGTATTATCTCCGGTTAGGTGACCAGGTAAGGTAGATAACCATGTAGGTTCTAAAAGGAGTATGAAAGGGCTTCGTGCCAAGTAACATCAAGTTGGTATTTAGAGAGGAGGAGTTACCCTCTTGAAGCACTAATCTGGCGCTGAAATCTTTCATATGTATATCAACATGAAAGAGGACCACACATATGCTGATCTACACCTAAAGAAGTTCCAGCGCTTTCAGCTGGTGTGCCAGCCTTCTGCCCTTTATGCTCTGCTAACATCTATGACACGCGGGGGCACGTATGATGCTGCATGCAACCTAACCCAAGTCCACACACATCTTTCAGTGTGATATAACTGTGGTAAGCAGTCAAATAAATGACTACCCTACCACAGCGCACCTTGCAGCACCTTTGTGATATCGCATGGCATAGGTGTGAACAGGGCTAACAGGAGGGGTGTATATATTTTTTTTTTAAACGTAAAATAGGAAAAATGCTGGTGGAACTGTGGCAGACCACAGGGGCAGTTTGTGGATTGACTGTAGAGCTCATCTCTATACATCACAACGCTGGGCTTAGGTGAATGCTGCTGTGCATCCTCTGGAGGTTGTGCACTGCTGCTTAATGGCTGTAGCTTTAACCTTACACCAAATGTGCCATGTTGTCGTCTTTACAAATTTATAGAAAATGCTAATACAGATGTTGACATCAAAAAAGTTCTGTAGGGACTGGGAGGTAGTTTTGGGACAGTTGATCACCTTGATGAAATAGAGAATATCAAGCTATATGTGAGCTGAAGCTGTGCTCTGTACACACCTGAACCAAGCCCAGACTTACTAAGCCGCAGGGTCATGCTCTGCACAGGGTAAGATCAGATATGCTCTCCAAGTGTGTTTGTATTTTGAATAAAAGCCATGGCATTCTAAAATCATGCTACCAGGAGTACAAATTCAGTTTACTGCAACATTTGGCATGGAACTCAAAGTGGATCCCAGATGCTTTTTTGGATCTCCAGGTGGCAGTATTTAGAATAACTTATACTGAGGACTAAAAAATTATTGTGTATTAGACCAATGGCTAAACAGACACACAGCGATATTACCATGCCATACTAAGAAGCACAAATTATTCAAGCATTAGACCAAAAGCTAAGCTGACACATAGGGTTCCAAACAAATGGCACACACAAGGTATACTAACTTAACCCACACTGCGTAAGCACTGTGTTGGCATATGTCTGGCTTAGAGAAGGAACTGGGAGTCTGTCTTCATGGTAGTGTCAGAAAAGCATGATTCCAGATTACCACATTTTAAGCAATAAGAAAACAAAAGTGTTTTAAGCGGACACCTTACCCATCCTTAAGAAGAAAACAATCATAACTGGGCAGCATTTTATGGAAGAAGAGTTACTTTAAGCAGAGTCAAAAGCACAAATGGGTTTAATTTCTTATGCACTGAAAAATGGTTCTGTAATCACTGATCATCTTTTCCCAAACATTTTATATTCAAAACAAATCTGTGCTACAAAAGTAATACCCAATAGGCTCCTTGGCTCAAACTGGACACTGGAATCTTGCACATTGTATTTCTAAAAAAGGTCAGATCATTAAACTATGTGATTGTATAAATAAGTAAAAAAAAAAACTGTCACCAAAAAACCTAAACAGTGTTGTGCATTTTTTTTTTTTTAAAAAAGGTGTCAATCCTGACATTTTAGAAGGCAAAAAGCAACACACGAACCCTGCACCAAATATGTGGGCAATGAAATGCATACTACAAGGTGAAAGCGGTACCAAACTGTCAGATCTTCGTTTGGGGTCTCCAAAGCAAGAAAGGGTTAGGTCGAACCTTCACAAATCTACTTTGCATTAGGATCTTTGTAGGTTTGGCATATCCATTGGTTGCAATCAATGCGCACTTGTAACTCTGTGTAGATGTTCTCCTGTATTAGTAACTTAAGACAAATATTGAATCATGTCCTCCACAAGTGATTCTCCCCAGCGTTCTGGGACTACTGCATTATAGTTCATTGCTAGCAAACTGGGCAAAGCACAGTCTGGAAAGCTTTGTGGCTGAGATGTGTTTTCATGTAACGTAGGTGTTGATCATGCCAATTCAGATAAATTACACGGTCTTCGGAATTCTTGACCTCGCTCATGGATCCATTTATTGGATACTACAAAGAAAGAAAAAGTATTGGCTGTTATAACTATATTTTATTTAACAATAGAGTTTCACAGTATATCTCACTCAAAAGGTACCTATATAGTATTTATAGGCCTATCCTAATATTGATGATTTAATTATAATCATTCAATCCTGCCAAAATCAACAGGCTCCTTCAGATTTTAGTGGACACCTCTAGCTTATATAACGTTTCAGTGCTTGAACCATGTAGTGGCTGTGGTGGGAACAGCAATGTTCAGAGAAGCACAAATAAAAATTGTTGTGTACTTTATACGAGAACTGCAGGAGTTTTTGATGTATGGAATTTAAGTAGGTCGCTGAATTCTTCTTTTCAAGCTTTTCATACATCTGACTCTGCTTTATGTTGGATGTCATTGTGATATATTTATTTTAACATCTTTTCACAAAGACAGGTGGTCAATAATAGGATCACAACAACACCAGCCCTCTTTCTGTAAATTTTCCAGCTACCATCGACTTGCAAATTGTGGTGGTAAAACCACAGACAAAAAAAAAGGCTACATTTGAGAAAACTACTCAAATCTTCTTTATGCCTATATATTTGATGCAGATAGAGCAGCACATATCTGTGTTTGATTATGGTATGTAGGCTGCAATGCAGCAAGCCTGGACAACAAGGTGCTCATACTCACCCCATTTATTACCAACCAATACAGGACAGGCTGCATGCCTTGTACTATAATCCCCTTCTCCACTTTCAAAGAGATTATACCAGAACACCGCTGTTCCCTATACAAAAAAGAGTAAACAGATAAAGCTATAGAATTTTAGAACATTTCGTTAAGTATAGTTCTTAAAGGCCCACTAATAGTGATTCAACAATATTATACACATACAAACACAACTATATATCCTAACATCATGAAATATTAAAAAAAGGATCTTTAGAAAGAACAATCACCAAGCCACTGGTATTTAAAAAAAACTGGCAAAAAAAGGCATTACTTGCCTTTAGCAAGCAATAAATAATAATGAACAGTATTATTTGTAATACAATTGTTATTTCCTTTACTATTTTGTTAGGTGAATAACCAGGAAACAGAAATTACACGTTTTTGTCCCTCAAAGCACACAACTTTGACAAATATTAAAATCATATATTTGTTGCTACTGAAAAGAAAAAAATCAGTCCAGACTAAAAAAATATGGTTTCTAGTAGGGGCTCAAACCTTTTGCTATAATACATTAAAAACAGGGCTGGACAATTCTTGGTCACAACTACTGCTGGAAAAAAAACTCTGGTGATTAGCTTGGCAGTGGATGCACTGGTCTCTGTGGACAAATGTCTTTCAGTGCCCAACAATCTCTCCAAACACCACACTCACCCGCATTAATAAGATGGTGGTTGTATCTGCCCCTTCTCCCATTCCATTCCCTGTGTCTGCCCACACTCCAATCCCCAGGCATGCAGTGAGATGCCTGTAGGGGGGTTTGTGTGGGCACCGGCAGCAAATTAAAGCTCATTTTAGGGCACAAAGCAAATATAGCCCCAAAGCGCCCTTTCCCTCTGCAACAAGGTTTTTTTTTCTCCAGCTTACATTGCTTTACAGAAAGATATGGTTTTTCTAAAAAATAAAAATCTTACACAAGCCTGAAGGTGGGGTCTGCAGGCCACCCTATGTTGTTTTTCTAAGTGAAGCAGCACACCATGCTGTAATAAATATGCCTGTTGCCTACAGGGTGAGCTCTACCGTCAACATGCCAATGCTGACCTAGCAATCACGTATCGGCTTTTTTTGTGCCCTAACTGATACCAAGTAAAAAGGGTGAGCTCTGAGCAGGACAGAAGCAGCAATGAGCATTGATCTTACTAGTCACTGCCAGGGCACACCAGCATGCTGTTGGCTTACTTTCAGATCAACATGCTCTTGTTGCAGAGTTGAGGTGATGCTCCCTCCCCACTTCAAAAGTAAATGCGGCTTTAAGTCACTCTGGCTCCTGATGGTGCGGCAACGATTACACCAGTACTGGTGTCAAAAGTCAGAGTTCCTGTACAATTCCCATATATGTAATTTTGAAGGAAGGAGTGCGAGAGTACTGTATAGAGATGTATTAGATTCTAGTAATGTCCAGTGCATTGTCCTCTTATATCAAAGCAGCATGGTTGTGGTCTTTCAGATGCCACTGTACCAATCTGAGTGAGAAGTGAACATTAGACAGTTCTAAGCAGCTGCTCCTCTGTCACCAATCACAGCATCACCTTAACTTGGCAATAGCAAGGACATGAGCAGGCTGGTCTAAAAGTAAATGGTCAGCATGCTGGTGAGCGTGTCCCAACAGTGACAGAGGAGATCTTAGCTTATCACTTATCCTCTGTCCTGCTCAAAGCATCACCCTAATACAGTGTCAGCGGGGACAAGGAGTGGACAAGGAGTGGCCAAGTTGTTGAGAGCTATGTTGCAGGGGGGGGAAAAAAAGAGAGAGGAGCAACAAAAGCTGAGAGACTGTGGCATCAAATCTGGGATAAGTGGTGTGGGGCCCAAGTTAGGAGTCGGGCACTGACACTACTGACACTACTACTTCATTCGGCTGTGCTGATGTGATGCCATGACACAGAGAATGAAGAAACCAGTCCCCACTACAGGAAGAACAAAAGCACTGATGAGGCAAACTAAATGAAGCATTTCAAGAGAAGGAAAAATCGACTACAGTGCAATAGAAGGACATTCTGCATATGCATTGAAAAAGTGGCAGTGATGTCTCCTCACTGTCCTGCATCAAAATCATAGAATGCCTAGTATTCATTGAGAAAAACGCCAAGTTTCCTCTGAATGGCCACTATACTCTGTGGGGAAGCAGGGGAGTCCCTCAGCATACTGGTCAGATTTGTCCAGGCTGGCAATAGAAAATATAAAACCTTTCCATCTTCTCCTGCCAATCCATTCAGATTGGCAGGAGAGTAAGCTCCAATGGCTGCCCACACATACCCAAAAATGCCAGGCATCTCAGGGAAATGGAAAGGAAAGGTGAATATATGCTGCTGGGGAAAGCGAGGTAACCTTTTGCTTTGCCCCACAAGGACAAAGGAAAGGTTCACGTTAACAGCTATTCTTTATATTTCAAATATAGATGATATATGGATAGGGGATTTTTGGCAGAGAACCGTATTATGGTATGCCTTTGGTGTGGTTAGTATCTGCATTATTTCCTTTAAAAATGTTTTTGTTTTAGTTAAGTCAATAGAATCAATGTAGGCATGTTAAAAAGGTAATACATAAATTGCACAATCCTACATGAATATAAACTATATAAAAACAGAATGTCGTACCTTTTTAGGGTAAACTGCTGCTCCTACTTCTGGAAAGACTGTAGCCCCACCTGCCTCCACGTCACTCATCTGTAAGAATAAACACTTTTTAATTTCTTTAAAGCAAGAAAATACAATTTTGAGCTTGATAAAATATACTGTGTACAATCGGCTCATCAACAAAAATAGTACACAGGGCCTGGGACTGGCATGGCAGGTGTCAGTAGGTAGAGGGGAGGCAATCCAGTGAAACATGTGTTCGCTGATCTCCTCTCCAGGGAATGAACTCTGAAATGACAATGATTTTGTGACTTTCCGTTTCTGAGCTGTGATTTCCTGCCCGATCTGTGCTTGTATAGGCTTTAATGGGCTAGAAACGATTACATTACGGGTCATGGCTTAAAATACAGTTAAATAAAACAACCCCCCCCCCCCCCAAAAAAA